GAGTCACCCCATTCTTTTTCTTCACATGTAAAGAAAAAGAAGGGGTGCAGCAAATGAATGTTTATATACTAAACAAGTTCCTGTGGAATAAATGATAAAATGATTGCCTTTTAATCTGAAAGGTTGTTGACTGTTATTGATAAACTGGGCAAAAAAAAAAAAAAAAAAAAAAAAAAAAAAAAAAAAAAACAATCAAACGAAATTACTGCGTATTAAAGAATACATCTGTAAATACCCCCTATTTTCAGTACATTAGCTTATCGATTGGATGTTAACCTTGCGTGTGGTTTTTGTAAATATCTATATCGGATTTATAAACATTATTTATTTGAATACTTGCTAGCTTAGCATATGCCCATGCCAACAAAACAAAATATTTATAAATAGTGACCTGTAACAGTGTAAGCAGAGTTTAGTTCTTGTGACTATAAATAGATTTTGATGTTCATGCAGTTCTAAATAAAAAGATGGGACTTTTGTATTTATATATAGTATTTCACATATCATACTCGGCGTTGATCTTCTTTTCAGAAAATGATACAATTCAGTTGAAGATTAAGATTAAACCATTCATAATTTAAAATTCTTTCCGCCTTGATAAATCTACACTTACTTAACACTCGGGATTTCCACTATTCTTATTTTAAAATCCTAGTCACCTGTTATAATTATCCAGTTCCGTTAAAAACATGAAACGCTTTGTGTTACAGTACTGAAATATCAGATATATAATACCAGAATACAACAACATCTGGCAAATTCAAAAGTTACAATGTGAAATAAAAAAACAAACAAGTACAATTTCATTTTATGCTGCACGTTCAAAGCAGGATGTGCTTTATATTTTTTTTTTTACTAATAAGTTGCTAATATTTTTTATAAATAATTAATAATTGACATTTCAGCATTATCAAAATATTTCATTCTAGCATACAAATAACTAAATATAAACTTGAACTATATCAAATATAATTAAATAAAATTCTTGTTCTTATCCAGTTACTTTTCAAGTGAGGGAAATTGCTTTGAAGTGAATTACTTGTATTAATTTATCTTTCTAGATATATAGGAATGAAGTGATTAAGCTCAAATTAAGCTTAGAAGAGATGCAAAAGTTCAATTGCTTCAGTTTCCGTTAAAAAGTCAGAAGAAATTTAGTATTGAGTCATGCAACGGTGGACCAATCAGTTTACGAAGGTTTGTGTTCCTGATTACCGTATTCTATTTTTGGAATTGTTTGAATCTGCAGTGTGGTATAAAAGGCAAATAACTGTAAGTATTCCGATCAATCAAATCATCATGTCTTCATTAATATTTGGTACTTTCATCTTTTTATGATATACCAGTTTAATGTTATTCTTCTTGAATTAAATGTTTTGTTTTTCGTTTACTTGGATGACGTGTTTATAAATATAGCAGCTAAATTTAAACTCCCTTTCTTGCTACAATATGAACATATTCATTTATTTACATATCGTATTTTTTTTTCTTGTTTAAAGTCTTTATATCTAATATTTCGTTATTTCTAGAACTATAGCGAGACATTTAATGAAATATGTTAACCCCATATTATAACATTGTATAATTTTCTTATCTAATATATTTTATGAGTATATGTACATTGTGAATTCACAGATTGGAGGGTTTTTTTATTTTATCAAATCACTGACAAACTGACATTTTGATTTTTCAGGCTCTCTCTCTCTCTCTCTCCCCCCCCCCCACATGAAACACGGATTGACAAAAATACTTCCTTTTAACAATTTATTGTCAGTCTTTTGGAGTCATGACTTACGGACATTTGAACCAAAATTTGCGCACCACACATAACTTCCTCGTCAAATTCTTCATACATCATCTAATGCTTCTGAAATCTGAAAAATAAACAATCATTTATTTCCCAGTTCTGTCAAATGGTAAAATTAAACTACAATAATAACTTCATTGTGAATATTTGTATGGGATGAATTATATAATTTATCCAGATTAAATTAATTCGGATAACATATACGTTATGTTGTGTGGACTGGTCCGAAGTTGGCTGTATTCTTTCCACATGGTTATCAATTATCGTCATCATATTTGGATTGGATTTGTGCATTATATGTCCTTCAGAACACCTGATTTAAAATTATACATTGACAGGTGTCCATAGCTGAATATAAGATTTTGATTAAGCAGACCTCATCAAGAATAGAAACTAACATATGGTAAACTTTAAGCAAACCTTTTCATGTGTTTGGAATCTTTTTTTGTTGTTGATCATTTGACATATACATGTACTCTGTATGAGGCTTCTGACATTTTAATTTTCAGATTAAGCGATGAACACAAATGTTAGGCATCGTTTGCTTCATAAACATCTTTCAGATAATAACGAGCAAGCTAGCATTTAAACACAAGATTAACAGAATATAATGTATGACTTGAAATCTGATATCTTGAATTGCAATTGACAACCATAGTAAACAGAGACTGTTGATACTTTGCCAGCAATATATCCCTTACATTTAAAGTGTCTTTTAGAAGATCGGAAATAGTGGAATCTCTTGATGTCAAACAATATAATAATAAATAGGCAAGTCATTTCAGTGTGGACGTCCGTTTTATATTTTAAATTGATATTTCTGTGTGGTAACTGATAAGCTATCAATGCCCAGTTGGTGAGTGCGTGGAAACACGCGATTGAAGATAGTTTTTAAAAAGAGAATCTGATACCTCTTAAAATTTTAAAATTTTAGGACATTTAAATTGAAATCGGAACCTAAAATTGTGTAAAAGACTGATTAAAGTATTTCCTCAACGAGCATAATTGTGAGCAAAGATCTGCATTAAGTAATTATATGTCATATTTTTCAAAGATATTTTGTAATGAACAATGCTTGTATATACATGTACCTATAGTTTTTGTGGCATACAATTTATTAATATTTTCAAAGGGAATCGGGTTTTTTTTTTATCTTCCTTTCTTCTCTTGCCTTCATATTTATAGTAACTGAGATGAAAAACCGTATCTTGAGGAAGTTTTTGCTGAAAAGCTCTCTTGTTTTACTTTCATGGATATAGACTGTGGTGAGGGTTTTACCAAAATGACATTGATGATTTTGATGTTATAAATAAAAAAAAATCATTGAGGCTTTTCAAAGCATTGATAAAATAAAATCAACCGCTAACTTTTTTGTCTTCGAAATCGATTATGTTGAAACTCAGTAAAAGGAAATTCCAATCCTATCTTTTCAAGAACATTGCTTATTTAAGTTTCTGTGTAAATCAGATCTAACTTAAGGAGGTACGCACCCGAAAGTATTGTAATGTCATTTTTGTAATATGTAATATCTACTGTGAAAAAAGAATTACATACTAAAAGGGAACGGGGGGTGAAACATACCTTGTCAGTTAAACTTGACCTTTATGCACTTAGAAGGAAGTCTGAAATGTTTTTTTTTTTTAAACTACAGTATAACTACTGTTTCAAAAAAAAAATTAGTATAAGCATGAACATTTCATTTTATGTAGGGTAATATGTAATACGAGGGGTAATCAAAAAGCTCGTGGACTGATGCTATAAAATTAATAGCATGTAGTCTGTGCATACAAAATTTATAAGAAACATAAACCAACAAAAGTTTACGCTTGTCACGCCCACCGTGAGCCCTGTGTATTGATCAGATATATAGAGTACTCCGTGGTCACAATTTATATAAAAGCACCGTCCTTTCAATTGTCAGACAAAATTCGACCCAAGGCTAGGTTGTGTTAAACATACAAAAATCAATATTATGACCGTAGAATTTACAAAAAGAGTTGTTTAAATCCTTGTAACATAAATTACTTGTCTGTAGCTTCGGTCTCAAAATTGAGTGTATTCAGTGCACGCTCATGCGTATCGATTCAGTTGATGTTGGAATATTACTATACAAATAAGGGAAGTTGATGATGGAAAAGTTGAAGTCATTCCTTTTGTCATACAGTTTACTTATTAGTTGACCATTATCGTCTATAGCACGTAAAACTTCTAAATATGAAACATATATGACAGATTCGGTAGTGTCCACTATAAATCGAGAATGGAAATTACTAATGTTAATTGATAAAACTTCGTTGATAAACAAAGGCTATTAAATAACAGGATTTTTTTTCTTTTCTTGTAACAGTTTCTGAATAAATTCTGCTTTGATCATAGAAATTTAAAGACAGGTTGGTTAACAGAAGGACACAATTCGTGCCCGCCAGAATTCCTACAGATAGTTGGAAGATCTGGTCTCGAAGACTACATGACTGTATATTTTCATTTTCTATGAGGAACTGCATTTTCTACTTCATTTAATACTCTCTCAAAGTTTTTAGTTTATTTGGTATATGAATTCAAACATTCATAAAGATTTTCAGGAAGGTTGTAGAAATTTGATATTGAATTTCTTAATTGAATTTTATAATAGTATTGTTGTCCTACCATTCCTTCAACTTCATTTTGTGATACCAAACACCTCCTTCAATTGCCTTTGTACATTATGCTCAACTTTACTCAAGCGTTCTCTCCAAGCTGAGAACTTTTTCCTATTAAACACCATTTCTTATCGGCTATACCAAAAGTTTATATCTGTATTAGCATTAATCATAAATATATTAACGTATAGTTGAATAAGAGGAAGAGAAGCAATGCAAAAGGATTTTTAAAAAATACTGCTAAATTAAGTACGTTTACAATACGTAGAGGGATTATTCATTTATTTATTCATTTGTTTATTTTTTTCCCATGCAGGTTCAACTGGATGATAAAGAAACAGACGTAAGGTAATTTATAAAGGGAGATGATTGTGGGTAATGACGTGGATAACATATTAGTGTAAAGAATTACTGCACTTAACAACCCTAAAATGTGACCTTATTAAAAAACAACATTTTTTGATAAGTAACGATGAAAGTTTTGACAAAGTTTATATCACATACATGTCATACCTGTCATGAAAACGAAATAAATATTAATTTTATTACTTTTCAGCTATAACTAGAGTTAACTATGAGATTGCTATGTGTCACATTATTGTGTGTATCAATACATCCTGAGGTGTGTATCCATGATAATTAAAATTGATTTCAAAACAATAACGTACTTTTCAAAAGTTTGTGGTTTTACTTTCTAGTTTACTTGATCAAGGGGAGTTTAAATTCTTATACTACCTAACTATAGCTAAAGAACATGTGATTTTGCATCAATATATTAAGATACTTGATTCATTTGTTTTTACTAAAAGATCATGCACAGGGCAGGGAATGAATCCTCTGAGATCTTTGAGATAGGTAAGAAAAATGATCTGGACATATATACGTGAAAAAAGAGGTATCTTTACGTGAGTATTTGACAGGGAATTTTAATCTTTAAGTAAATTTATTCTTTGAAAATTGTCAATTTCTTCAATTTGTGTGTGAATGTTTTCCCAAAACCCACCTTACAAAAATGATTACAATCAAATAACATGCAAGGTACTACTTACGAGATTCAGTCTTAAGAACACACAGTCAGATTCAGAAGTAGTTATATTTTATAACTTAAACAACATTTATCCATCATTTCCATGTCTTTTTGTGTAGCCGATGAAGAAATAATGCTTAGGAAAAAGTTCTCACCTTGGAGAAAACGCTCGAGCATAGCTGAGCAAAAATGTACAAAGACAAGTGAGGGAGGTGTTCGGTATCACAAACTGACGTTGAAGGAATTCTTCTCTACGATCGAAGAAGCAGTGGCTTGCATGTGAGCAATGAATTATTCCCTTTTATGAAAGCAAACCTTCTTTATTCCATTAAGATTACAATTTCTTGGTATTACCTGCAAGTTCTGTGTTTTAAACTTCATTTTTCATTTTTATTGATGCTGGCAAAATGTTTTGTCGAGAAATCAGAGTGGTTATTAATCAACTTAATCTTAATTTTGTGAAGTAAACATGTTTTTAACAGCAGGTATTCAACGTTTGAGAGGGACATTGTTTGCAAAAGATGGCCACCCAATAACACCCTCAACGCTATAATGCTAGTGATGATGCAAACTTCATATGGAATTGAAAATTCTTGTTCCGATGTTGATACGTATGAATCTGCCAAGTGGATTATATCTACTGATTCCCTGAACAGCTTAAGTGACACTGGAATATTGTTTGAAAATGTTCTTTTGGATGCGGATATAACCATAATACTTGAAAAGTATCACACAGATAGTTTTACTAGTTTCTTTACAAACAGTGGATGTCTACACGTTTACTTATATTTGGAGACTTCCCGATTAAGTTTGTACAAAAACACAACAATAGAATCTGTCTGCGAAATTGAAGATTATGTCTATGTCCTATTGAATGATAGAAATTGCTCTGCAAATATTCAATTCGAGTCAAAATGTTCAATGTCGTGCTTAACATTGCTTTCTTTGACACTTGGGAAATACATTGAGGAAGAGGGATATTATTTGAAAACATTGTACGGGTAAGCATATTAGAATTTAAATATATACATGTATATATGTAACCATGAGGCAAGTAAGGAAAATATGTTAAAGTCTCTAAGCATATGACGATTATTTGTTCGTTTTTTTTTGTTTTTTTTTTTGTAAATTTAGATAAATATCTATATTTGTAGCTTGCATGTTGATTATGTAGCTGTTTCCATACATCTCCAATGATCATTTATTTCATCATGTTTGCTTTCGTAGATTTTGGGTCATACCTCTTGAGAAAAATTGCTCAAATATCACATTGATGTCAACGGATCTCTTCGATATAGGCAAGCTTTTACTATTATTCATAAATGATGAATTTGCCCGAAATGTTAACCTTTGCAGTGTTTGTCTAGTTCATTGCACAAGGGTCAAGCTAGCCAAATAATCCAATAGATAATTTACCTTAATTCACTTATTGGTTTTAACTATTGTATGGATTATTTTGTGTTTCAGTTTGGTTTAGCGACAATTCTTCCAGTTTTCTCTGGTTTGAGTTTCTCTTGAATTCAATGTCTTGTGAATATGCTATACGAACCATTCTAACTTTGGATGCCTGCGTTAACAATACCGAATTGACCTTTTCATCACATATATTGTTCCCAGAGAGAACGTATTTTGCAACTGTTTATTCCTGTGGAATGTTAAAAACAGAAGGGAATGAGTCCTATATGTACTTGTGTCCAGTTTTCCTATTAATGAACGATAGTTCTGAAACCATCAGCCAATACTGTGTTTCTGAAAATAAATTCTTTTATCGATCTAGGATGACGATCGCATGTCCAGCGACCATCAGCTTCGGTGAAATTATTTTTCTCCATAATTGTTCAAGTAATATTACAATGACGTCAAATATCAAATATAATTCATCCATATCCAAAGGAGCATCAAAGGATTGTTCATTTTGGTACAATATTCACCATAAATACATGATTATATCAGATTATTTAAACAGAGATGAAGGGCTTCAATTAGTTTACCAAATACTAAAGACTCCCTCATGCAACTCTATGATTAGCGTAGAGGTATTACATATGGATTGTATTAAAAGTATCAGAGGTAAGTATTAAGTTAATTTACATGGAAAATGCGGATGAGAATTATGATTTCATGAATTTTCAATTTCATCGAAATGAGTAGCCAAGAGTGTTTAAAGAGTCAACTCCGTCTCTGATATACGTTTAACTAATGTATATTTGTACAATTGTAGATGATGAAAGATGCATTGATTTTTTTGTCCTTGTAGTCAGTAATTATTCGTCATTCGAAGACATTATTTTCTGTGGAAAGCTTTCAATCAATAATACATTGGATTTTACAGTAACCTTGATGATTCAAAATGTTCATATAAATGAAAGTTGGCATATCCATTCGGAAAAACGTAGTGATACAGACTGGACTGGATTTTCTGATTTTTTAAGTGGATTAAGTGAAAATGGCAAATGTTTTAAAACTACTTCAAAAGTAAATTACTTTGATAAGTTGACGACCTTCCAAAACACTTGTATAATTAAAAACAAATTAAACAGTTATTTCAATGTCTTTCAAGAGAATGAAAGTTTGCGTCAATCTTGCAAGTTTAATAAGTTCGTGAATAAAGCAAACAACCTAGCATTCAAACCAGGAGAACATTTCTGTGTTGATATTACAACAAGTGCTCATCTAAGTTTTCAAAAATTTAATGTTACATCAAAATACAGAGTGCAGCACTCGAAGAGACCTCCTAAGACGTTTGGAAACTCCAGCCAGAGAAAAGATAAAGTGTACAGATTTAGGCTTCAAAAAATGAAGAATTTGTAGGTTTGATTTTTCTAAATAGATTTAAGAGATAAAAAAAAGTCAAACTGTTTAATTCTTTTTCCTTTTATTTTAGTAATTTTGATTCGAAGAAGTCATCGGAATTTTTACAATACAAAAACGATAAATTACGTTATTTTAAATTATAACCTTTAATGTACTTTGTGTAATGATTTTTGTTAATTTTTTACATAGCGAATATCTAATCTGTAAATGGAGGAATTTCAACATCTTAACTATATCAGGTAAGATTCTTATCTTTATTTTATTCATTTAAGCTTTTGTTATTATCGAATAGCAATAACATGTAACAAAAAATGTCATATGTTTAACAGTAAGCGTATTTACTTTTTTCAGTTATCTTGGATGACATTAACCTGGCAGCGGATGTCTCTAATAGTTCATTGTTATACAGATATAACAAAAGGTGTATGGAACGTTCTACCTCGAAGTTTTATAAAACTGATAAACAATCTGATTTACAACACACTTTGTTTGTACCAAAAAAGTATTCTGGCATAGCGATTGGGAAAAGATTGCCAAGGAAACAGAATATAAAGGAACGGGATTTCTTGTTTTCAGTATTCTTTTCAAAGAATAGCACAACATTTGCCAGCTATGATAAAATGGTATTTGAAAACAGAACAAGAACGAGAAATTGCACTACTATTCGTCCGAATTTTAACTACAGTGGCGTTTCCTTGAAAGAGAATGCGTCTTTATCCTCAAATAGTACAAGTAGTATATTCATGTTCGATGGAAAATCAGAGGATTACTTCATACACATTTTGATGAATGTTCTTTTCATTTTATTACTGAAGTGTAAATATAAACGTCTAACATTTACATCTTCATTGGATGATGCAAAAGTAGATCATCATCTTCAGTCTTTTTGCCAGTCAACAAAGTCCTCATCACAGTGTGTAACAGGAACATTGGAAGAATTTGATAATATAAGTGAGTATTGAAAGCTTTTTATAAATGAAAAAAATCTTATAAATCATTTTTGAGCTTGAATACTGTTCGTTATCCCCATATATTTCATTTTAGATATGTGTCATATTAATGATTTGCTCATTAGGCAGATAAATTTATTATGTTTGGTAAATTTTTCATGGATTCATGCTTAATTCAGTCCTAGGATGCAAAATGTTGCAGAAACAAATGAAGGCATTTCTGCGAAACCCTTGCATTTGTTTACTTGTGATAGATTTTTTTTTTTTTTTTTGGGGGGGGGGGGGCATTTTCAGTAGTTTTCACACTCCTTAAAATATATATTAACTGGTAAAAACGTCATGTCTCACTTGTAAATTAATGTTCGTATCCGTGTAAAATCAATATATGTATCCTCTATTTCTTTTTCTTTATTTTCATTAAACCTATGTGAAATTTACTTGTACTTGTTCTTGTCCATTTGTATTTTTTTTTAACCGCTGACTAAATATGTACCACGTGGAAAGTCTTTATCCAATCAAACAACTTATTTTTACGCTTTTTTTGACATTTAACAAAATCATTTATATTTGTACATTTTAAGCAGGTATTGGATACCTTGATCACACAGTCCATGTGAAGATTTTAGTAGAAGTTGTATTTGAGGCAATGTAAGTATGAACTTTATTCAAAATAATATGTATACATGTATACTAAGAAAGGCTGGTTTTTCTGTTATGTCGCATATATATTTTATCCAGCCAAAATTTTGGGAACAATAGTTTTTCTCCTGTCTGTCTATTTGTCTGCGTACGCTAAATTTGATAGTAAACGACATTATTTATCATACTTAGTGTTTGTATTCTGAGTTTATGAGGTAAGAAAAACATATTAAAGTGCATTCAACCATACCTTCTTTATTGTGATAAAAAAGGTGTATTTGTAAAATTGTAAATATTACAAAACTAACAGACAATTGATATTTGCGCTGATGGCAAACGAGAAGCGAGGGTACATTAACGTTCCAAAGCGACGCCTAATGTGACACCTGTGGTAACATTTGGGGATATTTTGGTTACCCAACATTACGTTTAGGAGCATTTATTTTGTTTAACAAACACACTCAACATTTAGATTTTTTATGTAGTGAAAAACATATTTAACTAGTAAACTTATTGTTCCGTGAACAATTAGAGGCCTTTCCACCTTTTTAAGTGTTTCCGTGTTATTTGTTTTGAAAAAAGAAGAAAAATGCAAAAAAAAAAAAAAACAAAAAAAAAAACAAACAAAAAAAAAACCAGCAGGGTTCGAACTCAAATCCCTTAGGTTATAAGTCAGGTACGCTAACCACTAGGCTACGTATTCCGAAGGTGTATGTAGTAACCTAATTGTTTAAGAATAAAATAAAAAGTTTTTTTAAGATCAGTAAGAAAGAAGTGCCCTAAAAGGAAATTGTTCCTGAACTTGCAGGCAGTGTATAAAATAAGAAGGGACGGGCTGTGTGAGAAAACGTCAGCACTGTCGCCTAATGAAAATGTATTAGTGGACTGTACCCCGATTCATTTATATCGTGAGCAAGCTGAATTTTTTGTTAGTAGGGCTATTCAGCTTCGTTGATAGCTTAGAAGATCGGGTTCGGATTTGGGTTAAATTAAATATACGTAGCAAAAATTAAACTCCCAACATGCATTTTTAGAAGGGAAACACGATAATGAAAGCGAGATTTTCTGGAAACTGTTTAATTCTAAATAAAAATCAAATAAATTCCACATGTAAAAGAAAGAGAGATTGCTTGGTTTTTAGATATCATATCAGGAGAATCGAATGCTATTAACGACATCTGCAGAAATGGCCGATAAAAGGTTTAGACCATTTCTTTGATCATCTGCACTTAAATTTCAAACACAACAGAATTTGTAGTGTTCGCCGTTAAACATCATGACTTCTATATACTTAAAAGACTCATCGTAAAACTCTCAAGACAGTTTTTCTGACGTAAATACTACATTTGTACAAAAATTTTTGTCAATCTTGGGTCTGGTTTGAATTTTAGAAAAATATTCCACGTTCTTGTTGATGTAATTTTTTAGAAAAAAATAGGGGGGGGGGGGTAAATTTTTATTTTATGCCTCTTTTAAACTAAGAATTGTAACTACTTCCATATCCTTAAGCCTGATTGTGACCTTTTGGTCAGGGTAAAGGTCAAGGTCATTAAAAAACCCAAATCTTTATCTTCAATATTTTAACCTGATTGTGGAGCTGGATGCATGTCCTTACTTTTATATTTGTCCAAGGTCAAAGTTCAAGGTCATTTTGGTTAATTGTTATATTTTTTCATATATATTAGGAATTTCTTGTGGTTTTAAGTGACCTTGACTTTGACCTTGACCTACATTTTAAGGTCAAAGGTCAAACATGCCAATGCAGTTGGTCCCATGTCTCTATTTTACACCGTTTGAAAGAAAAGTTAATTAAATGTAAGCAGTCTAAACTTTCAGGGGCAGTAACTCATAGAAGGGGCCGAAGAATGCTTTCGCAATGAATAGATTGAAGAGTGTACTAAATTAGACGAAGACATTAATGAAAGTTTGGAATCTCTAGGGTTTATGGTTTTGGAGGAGTAGCGATACATGTAACAAGGTTTTATTGTGAAAGGGGTAATAACTCCTTGAGGGTCAGCTGCAAAAATCTTTGAGGAAGTACATTCTTATAGACTATAAATCTTTTCAATGGTTTTGAAACAAAAAATCATCCGGCGGAAAAATAATAAAAATAACTAGTAGATTAATTGTTATCAAACAATTAGAGGTTTTACCATCTTCTTCAAATTTCATTTATTTTCATTATTAACTCTGTAGTTTTAATTTTATAAAAAAGAAACCAGAAATGGCGTTAATGTTTGCAAAAATGTAACTTAAAAATTAAAATTACCTTGACCTTTGACCTTGACAAAATTTTCAAAGTCAGGTCAATGATCAATGATCACCTTGCAGTTGGTCCCATGTTTCTACAACTTTTCGTTTAAAAGTTTTAGGCTTTAACGGTAAGCGCAAAGATATTAAAGGGCAATAACTTAGGTAGGGTTCATAGGATCCTTTCACACTGAATAGACTGATGTTTTGACTCGAGAAACCAGAGACATAAGTGAAGGTTTAGTGTCTCTACAGTTTGAGAGGAGTAGCGAAAACAATGTATATAGTGAAAGGGGCAATAACTTTTAAAGGGGTCAATCTTTGGGGACAAAAATGAAATTTTTAAAATAGTTTTAATGATATATTGAAGGTGCTAAGATATATTATATATATTGAAAGACAATTGAGAAGAGATATAACAAGAGCTAAATTTCCCATATTTTGAAAGAATTTGAACTCTGACCCTGACCTATATTTTAAGGTCAAACGCTGAAGAAACTAATGCATTTGGTCCCATTTCTCTACAACTTATTGTTCAGAAAATTTTTCATTAACTTACTGGGGCAATAACTCATTATAGGGGTTGACGAATCCTTTCACAATGAATAGATTGAATAGTCTCCTTTATTAGTTGAAACCATTGGTGAAGGTTTCCTACCTCTACGGTTATTAGCGATAACAAGGGGCAAGCACTCTGAATGGGGTCATAGTTCATAGTCAATGCGTCAAATCTCGTCATCATTTTTAATGACCTTTACAATGACTAAAAAATCTTTTCGATAAATCTCGAAACAAAAAATCAGCCGAAAGAAAATAATAATAAACAGAACAATTTCAATAGATCTTTCCACAGAAAGGTGGAAAGACCTTATAAATGAATTTTCGTTGAAAATTTTTTGCTCAAATTCAGAGAATATTTTACTGTTTTAGATGCCTTAATAATTTAGATGTCAATAATGTATTCTTATTTCAGAATCCTTGGCTATTTTTGGAGATTGCATTTCATTACCTGTTTTAGCAATACATTGAAAAGGAGTAGAGTTGGATTAAAATTGTTAAGTAAACATAATTTCAAAATTCAAATAATGTCTTTAACAATGCATATACATATACAGTATAACTCTCCGACAAACGCAAAAAGCGAATTACCTGTCCAAAAATCAAACCTATCAAACATCATCCAAGATTGTAGAGAAGCATATGACGACGTTTGCAAAGAAAGAAATACCTGTCATTCTGACGATAATATCTCGGATGATAGTTTATTTTCAACCTTTTATCCTTCGTTATCGTTATCTGAGACAGAAGAAGGCAATGAAGGAGATTGCAGTTTGAAATTGGAAACTGCTTACTGCGTCGATGCACAGACTATGAAATATGTTAAAGATTTAAGTAGAAAAATTTCAGACAATGTAAACATGAGTAAAAATAATATTTTGTATGATTATGATAATTGTAAGATACCGAAGAATAATACTGAATTTTCCTCCGTAATGTCTTCTGAGAACTGTGACACTGAACACACCTTTGTTAAACATAAACAAAATCTAACAAATGAAGATCGAGAAGACAATGAAACATCATTAAAAACCATTGGGAGTGATTCTTCTGTTGATGAATATTCGGATTCCTCCTTGTCCGGAAACATTAATGATTTAAATGATCTCAATATTTCCCCAAGAGATGGGTCAAAAATTGAAGCAAGTGTCAACAATAAGGCATTATCATTTGGTAAACCTTGCAGCAAAGAAATGAAAAGAACCATAGATTGTGTGCTAAATTCTACTGAAATGAGTAACACCAAAAAAGTCTGTGAAATTGGCCATATGTATAAATCTGAGTGTCCATATTTTGACTTTGGGGATTGTGGCAGTTCGTTGGATACATTGTCTTTTTATGATTCAAATAAAATGGAAAGCAAAGGAAATGATTCGGTCGTGTTATCCAGTTTACGGTCACTTCCAACATCAAGCGGATTCGAAAATATTGAATGTTATCACTGTTGTAGTGATATCAAACAAAACAATTATGAACAACTTAATACCCCAGTTGAAGAAACGTTTGCTTTTTCTACTGCAATTAATATTGTAACAAGTTCTTCAAAGTACAAAGAATTGCACTGGAGTCCTAACACCACAAGCAGCAATCGTACCTATATTGCGCAGGGTGTTCGAAAATTCTTGAAAAAATATAGAAGTAGACAAAGAAGAAGACTGTTAAGGAGAATAACACAATGTACATCAAGAGTGGAAAATATTAAAACAGATAAAATTATTTGTAACCCATTATTTACAAAGGATACGTATTCAAATACCACGGATCAGAGAGAGGCCAGTCAGCCCGAGCCCGAAATCGCTCCAGTCCGTTACCCCCAAAACCATACAGCTGGAATTCAGACTGATGTATACCAGTTATTGGATTATGAGAGTAGTTTAGGTACACTGTCGTCGATTTTTAACGATATTTCAATACAGAGCTTAAATGAAAATGACGGATATCAATATGAGTGGATTCGATTAGCATCTTTTACGAATTTTTCATCTGAAACTGTACATGCTACAAGACTGGCCAGAAGTGGGTGGTACAGCACGGGAAATGGGGATCAAACGACATGTTTTAGCTGTCACAGAGTTCATGAAAACTGGACCCGTAGTGATGATCCAAATGGAAATACGCTTCATGATCCAGATTGCAGGTCTCTCTCTCTCTCTCTCTCTCTCTCTCTCTCTCTCTCTCTCTCCTCACATACATTTGAATATCATGCTACACTTTACAGATAGTAAAAGACGATTTATTTTTAAAAAACTGTTCTCCATTTTTGATCAGTTTCATGCTACGAATATCAAACAACAGGCCAATACCACGGGAGTCTACAGTTCACCGAGATCTCAGCAGTGAATCGTTGGTCACCCAAAACAGCGTATATTTCAAAATTTGAATTTCATAGTTTCAAAACAAAATTATTTCATTTTAAGACGGCTTTCTTCTACTGAAAGCAATTTATTCCATTTGATAATTTTTTTTTTCAGTGTAGAAGTTTACAAAATCTTATTATTTCAAAAAAGGTTGAAAAATAAAACATCATGTAAATGTTAACTTTCGATCTCTTCAACGAATAAACGAAGTGCAAATCATTTGTCAAAGATTTTGAAAATGGAGGATTAATTTGATGAATCTATATTTTCTAGACTCAGGAATATACTCAAAGAACAAATCAACAGATAAATTCAGGAAATTCGGGAAACACCACAATTTTACCGTCAAATTTATCGTCGCAAATTTCTTTGCCGTTTGAAAATGGACTTAACGGGAATAGTTCAGAAAGACCCTCCTTCATACAGAGACCTGTAGCAGAAGCAACGTCATCAGAAAGAACGAGAGAAACACAACTGGAAGCCTTAATGAGAGACCCCATGGGGATCAATTTTGACCGCCCTAAGTACCCGTCCTACGCCATTCTAGCTGTCAGGATTAGCTCCTTCACTGATTGGCCGGCAGCTATGACACAAACTCCACGTGATATGGCTTTGGCCGGTTTCTTCTTCGCTGGATACGGGGACTACACACGCTGTTTTTTCTGTGGTGGAGGCTTGAGGAATTGGGAGGCAGGAGATGACCCATGGGTAAGCTTATTTGAATTGAAAAATGCCCATACGCGCATCCAATTTGCAGAAGAAAATGATAAACGATCACATTACAAACAATGACCTTTTTAAATGATGAAGATAAGTTTAAATACTTTCAACAGAAATACTTCCCCGACCTTGATCTCATCTTTCTTAAATTAATGTTTAGCTCAGTTTTGAAGAGACCATTCAAGATATTTTTATCAAACTTCATATGCTGAAACATACTGATGATAGCTTTTCGAATGCATAAAGATTTCATGACCTTGATCTTTCTCTTGACCTTGATCTCACGTTTCTTAAAGAGCTAAGTTCACTTTATGCATAAAATGGCCCTGTAGATAAACCAATTTATCTACTAACACACTATGTCCCTTTCTCAACATCAATATAAAGCAGAGGCTTGGCGCTTTCAGTTTGTATATAAAAGTTTCCTCTAAATAGTCCAGGTACTCGAAAACAGGTTGTGTGAAATTGCAATGTTCTTGAATTTTGCAGAAAACAGGTGAATTTGAGAACCTTCAACAAAGAATTAAAATATGAACACACCCCTCGATCCAAAAATGAAAATATAATTTATAATCTTAATAAGCAGTTCTTTCGTAATATATTTGCAAATTTTGGATCGGAGGTTGTGCTGTATACGAAATATTGAAAAATAGCATCATATTTTGGCCATTTTGAAGAAATATTCGGGATATATGAATAATGACGCAATTCATGACGTCAAAATGCATTGACTATCAAGGAAATTACGTTATTTTTAGTAGAAATTCAGTCACCAAGTGTTCAAGTGATATTTATTGCCTTGTCGACTAAAACTATGCAGTTTTAATTTTTCAGAAATTTACAGGGCCAAAAAAGGTCCTAAGTGGCCCTTGCCCTTTGTGATTAGCTCATTTTAGAAACAATTCAAGATATTTTCATCAAACTTCATATGCTCATACATTCTGATGTTAGCTTTTCAACTGCATAAAATTTTTTTGAGCTTGGCCTCTCTTCTTCAGTTAGTATTTAGCTCAGTTTTAAGGAAACCATTCACGATATTTTTATCAAACTTCACATGCTGATACGTATTAGTAGGATCTGTTCATCTGCATCAAAAACAGTTTACCTTGATTTTTCCTGTGACCTTGACCTCATCTTTCTTAAATTTGTATTTTGCTTAGTTTTAAAGAAACCATTTAAGATATTTTTATGTAAGCTTTTGCACTTATACATAACTTGTTAAGAATTTATCATCTGAATCCATTTTTTTTAAGATTTCAATTTTAAAGAAAATATCCAAGATGTTCTCAGCAAACTTCACACACTAATTCAAATTTACATGTTCCATTTCTAATATATTCTGGGCGGGGCATTCATGTCCTATTTCGTGTTTTCAACAAATTTTGTCCAAATCTGGAGAACTTTTGCACATGTGTCTGAATATAATCAACTGATTTTCATACATTTTAACCATTTTGTTTAGGAAACAAAATTTGACCCATTGAACTTACCATTCAACCTTTTCGAACAACAAGTCTAATAACAATTGAACAAGCTTGCAGGATACCTGATATGTAGAAACAATTAATGAATTGATATAAGTTTTTCAATCTTAAAAAAGTAACTTAAATCTTGTGTCCTTCTGAAAATATTATATGGACATGAAAGTGTACATGTTCCTTTTTTAAAACAAATCAAATTATCAGGAACTTCATGTTTTCAAAATTGAAGACTTAGAAGTTGTGCTAAGAAAATTGTGCAAATATGCAGATTTTGGAACTGGTGAGTGAAGGAATGTCTGAGTTTTTAAATTACCCAATCGTTGATTTTTCATATAATATTACATGTGTATCTTTTCAGGTTGAGCATGCTCGATGGTTTAGTAAATGTGCATTTGTGAGACAAAATAGAGGACAGCAGTTTATTGACCTAGTTCTAAGAAGAGCGGCTGAGATAGTATGCACAATATTACTTATTTAATACACATAAAACAAAATTATATTTTGGAACAAACGTATTGAAATTTAACTTTTAAATGATTTTTTTTTATGTTTGATTGTGGAACAAAGTTCTATGGTACTTTTGAAAGATATGTCCTTTTTGTCCTGAATATCGAAAATACCTAATAGGATATTCAAAAATTTGGTTTAAAGTCTTTTAAAAGCGTGCAACTATTTTCGACGCAGAAAGATTTATTTTTGAAGAAGAAACTTTAAGAATCATTCAATACCTTTAGTTTACTGTTAATTAAGACATCTACACATCAGCATGGAATGTTCATTTAGATATTTCTCTGCATTATCTTTTGTGCCAAATAAAGTGTAGATTATATATATATATATATATATATATATATATATATATATATATATATATATATATATATATATATATATATATATATATATATATAATGTTTTTTTTTAAAAATGACTTAACTTTACATTATTTTTGTCAATTAAGGAACAACAGCAAACGGAAAACCAATGTGAAGGTAGATGAAAGTATATATTTTTAACTGCATTATTTCCCTCTCATTCAAATCAAATTTAAAAAATCAATCTATAGAATATAAACATATTTATCTAATTGCATGCAAAAAAAATTCATTAAAATAAACATTTTGGTTTAAAAAATATTTTGAAATTCGTTATTTTACTGAAGACTTGATTCAACTCATTTTTTAATTTATAATATTTTTGCAATCTGTTTAGAGATTCATGCATACGATAAACAGAGTAATACTGTGCAATCATCATTGTTCGTGAGAATTTTGTTGAATTCGTCAGTTGAATATTCTGTATAAATGATTTACTTACGGAAGTACGTCCCCACAAACGACTAAAATTTTGACTGCTCAAGAACATCCCTCACGAATTAAAATGACTCCACAGCATACTATTTTTTTTACTTTTTATACTTATTTAACTTTTCTGTGCTTTTTGAAAGAGGCAACCGAAAACAAAAAAGCAAAGGAAGCGAAGATAATGAACTCAGCTGCTGTACGCAGTATTAAAGACATGGGATACGGTGAAGACAAAATAAAAGAAGCAATAGACACGATTAAAAGCCGTCTTCCAAAAGGTATAAATGTTTGTGAAAGAAATTAAAACGTTTTGGCTTCTCACTGTCCAATACCTTAAAGCATAAATTGTAATATTACATGTTTAATACGTTCTCATAATATATACAATGTAATCATAAATTTAGTATATATAACCTTTACAATATCAGCGTTTACTATTCACAATTATATGGTTATTAGCTGTCATGTAAATAGCAGGAAATAAGATTCATTTTTCCTCTTACAATTTATGACTGACACTAAGATATCATAAGAAATGTTGAACTTTTCATAATTGTTTCAAAATTATTAAATTATATCGTTCTCAAGTGTTTTATTATGTCAGATATCATTTTGAGGTCCACTTAGCAACTGTGAAATCCTTTATAATATACAGTATCCATAGCGTAGACATTTTGACAATCTTTGCAACATTATTTTTTAAACAGGAAAACATAAAGTGTCTGCACATGAAATTCTTGAAGTTTTGTTTGAACTGGCAGATACGAGCAGCATAAGGGTAACACAACATTCTGAACCAACTGTACAACATACAGAACCTACTGTAAGGAGTCAGAGCTTTGAACACCAGTCTTCAACAAATCTCATGGCCAATACCAGTGGTAACATGGCTATCCATTTAAGTTCTTATTTCAATTTTCTGAACTGTTTAAATGTAGTTCATTTTATTTTATTTCATGGGTCATACTCAATCATGAACTTATGAAGTTACGAATACTGATATCTTAACTATGTTTTTCAAACACATGACTTTTTTCCAATAAGAACCTTTCCAAAAATGTGTCCCCACAATTGTGACTGTCTTGAATTTAAAGTAATGTGAGCTGCAACTTTGGTGTCTGAAATTTTTGTCGCAACATTGTAATTATCTATTTCAATGACAGAAAAAAGAACGTTTATAGATTTTTGTTGTTTATATAGATGGAAGAACTAATTTTAAGCTTTAATTGAAGCATTGTCAAGGTATTGTCATCCTGTACAATATTGATTTCTTATGTAATACTATACATTGCGTTGTACAGAAATCTTTCTTCTTGAACAATCTAGTACTTTATTGTAGTCTAATTGATCATAAAGGTTTTAAGTTACACACAGATTTATCATAACAACACATTTTACAGCCAAAAAAAAAATTCTCAAAAATGCAGCTCATAATGCTTTAAAATCTATAATCCGGATTTTCAAAAATTATTCTAATACACCGTGTTCATGCTTTCGAAACTCCTATTTTTACATTTGTATAAAAGATAAATCAAATCCTACTATTGCGTTTGGTTAATGTACATTTGTGTATATGTAAATATTTATTTCATAAAGAAATTCTCTTAAGATGAATTATGAAGGTAACAGTAATCAATCTCAGGAGTCAATTGAAAAAACATACAAATTTGGAGCAGACCAAACACGGCTATAGACAGATACACTGATGATACAGGAATTTCAATAACCTCCTTTAAAGTCAGTATTTAGTTAATTCTGTGGTCGTTATAATGACCTTGTTAAGCTCAACGAGGGTTCGGCCGGTAGACAGGGGATGCTTTTCCCCTACTAGGCACCTGATTCCACCTCTTGGATTTCTGGGGTCCGTGTTTTATGCCCTGTTCACGGATTTGTATTGTTTGTACTTTTTTTCTTTTTAATCACTGTTTATCTTCACCATTTCACTTTTTCAACTAAAGACACTAAAGATTCGTTATATCATTGTTTTACTGTGCATGTATGTCTGTAAAGTTAATTTTTAAATTCAATCTGAACTTTCTTTACAGCAGAAGAAGGTGCAACATCCGCTGTTAACAACTTAACACTGAATGGTAATTCGTATTTTAAGAAGTAATTACAAATTATTCGCGGATCATCTCCTTGCTTAATTAGTAATAATTCAAAGAATGGGGCCTCATATTTTAATGATATTTGAATAAAAGAATTAAATAATTAAAAAGTAATGCCACATTTTTTTTATTTCATTAATTGTTTCTACATATCTAATGGTTTGTCAGAAGCGCTGCTGTTTTAAATAGAATTTGCAATTTATTAGCTTCATTTTCAAGGAATGGGACTCCAGCTGAAAAATGTGTGGCCTTTTCTAAGTATCTTATTTATTCATTACGTAACGTTCGGAATTTCGGGAAGACAGCAACATTTTTCAAGTTAAGGAACTTTTCCTTCCTCCACATTTAAAATGGTCAAGATATATTGTATGCCCCTAAACTGCAAAAAGACGATTTTACGAGGTACCTCAGCGTTAATCATGGCATCACTGTACACATAACAATGGCAGAATAAATTCTATAAATCTTCAATAATTATTAAGTAATGGCATTAAACAAAGGTTGCTGCACATTAGTATTATTATGTATTAAACATCCGTAGATATTTTTTTTTACTGAAAAAAAAAACAAACAAACAAAAAAAAAATTGATCTGCCATTCACTTCAATGAAATTGCGCCAAATTCTAACATGATGACGTTATGTCGACAATCATATTGTCTGCTGTGATCAGTTTCTTGTTTACACAAAATGAATGCAGTACAGTGGAACGTTTTGATGTAGTTTGATACCCTCATACAGTTGCAAAATAAAATTACTTTTTGTTCTCATATTATGAGGTGTTGTTTTTGCGTTATGTCACAGTTAACTTTCCTCTACAAGCTACATAAGGCCATGTCTGCTTTATGTACATAATGTAGACTTTACATCAGTGCTGCGTGGAAATTGAAAATGGAAAGACAGTTTTATGCTTTAGTCCATTTTTTTCAGACTGTAATGCACTTATTCCTTTTCATCAAGAAAAATCTTTATATTTTGTTAGATCTGGAATCATTGCAGCGTGAGAACACAAGTCTTAAGGACCAGATTATCTGTAAGATATGTATGGAGAAGAACGTGTCCATAGCTTTCCTGCCGTGCGGTCACTTAGCCTGCTGTGCGGACTGTGCGCCTGCCATGAGGAAGTGTCCCATCTGTAGGGAGTTTGTCAGGGGCACTGTCAAAACCTATCTTGTGTGAATATTCCAAATAGATACAAGACATTAAAAATGCATCCTAAATTTTGTTTTAAGGAAGAGCCATACTCCTGTTATTTTCTGTGGGAAATTTTCCAACTTTGATCTTTATTTAACTAACTCACATAAAACATATTTATGGGAGAGGGAAAAAGCCATTGCCAACGTATTCTCTTTTTTATAGCATAGCCTTTTAGGTCAAGGATGCAGTCCAAACATGCTGTGGCAAAATGTGTTTCAGATAAATTAATACTGTGAAATCACTAATTTTCGTTATTTTCGAGGTATAAAGAGAACCATGAATTTATTTCGACCTCAATATGTAAAAGTTCATATTTATATAACTACCCAGCAATTGCTTGTGCACGAAATCAAATCCCTAAAAACCCATATTTTTCCTTAAACCTCTAAAATTTGACTCCATGAAAATTACGCGATTTTACAATATTACGCTGTATAGAAAAGAACGAAAAGAAAGACACATATAATGAATGAATGACATTAACACTCCATTCATATGTCGACTCGATAAATCCCAGTGAACTTGTAATAAAATATACCACACAGTCTGACAAATCTGCTTCATATGAGGATATTTTAATAGAAAAAGATGTTAATGGTAAACAAACAACAAAACCTAATGAAAAACGTGATGACTTCAACTTTAATTTCGATCTTCAACCTCCCTTACTTATGTAGCAATACACCCTTAGCACCTGGATATGGGGTTTATACCTGAGAGATTATTTGATGCACAAGACCATGTTCTACGTATGAACAATTTCTAAAACGGGGCAACTTATCGACAAACAAGTTGATGAAACAAGGATATCAACAGTCCCTTTGAAGTAACCAATTCCCAAGTTCTTTGGTCGATACAATGCAATAATGTCTGCATAAATAAAATCAGACTGACGTTTCCCATACTTATTGTTGGGTCATTATTTAAACACTGAATTGTCAATTGATCTTCCTGTTTGCCAGATCATGACAAGGAGCACACAGCGGATGTGACCGGCCGACAGGGGATGCAACTCCTCCATTGCACCTGATTCCTCCTCCGATAATTTTAGAGGCATGTGTTTGCTCTGCTTCAAATTTGTACATGTATTGTTTGAATAGACTTTTGAATTTGCTTGTTCGTTATCTTCATATTTCACTTAAATTGTACATTAATATGCACACTTTTTTTTTCAAAATCACAATTATACAGACGTTCAACACCAATAATGCAGTAAAGCTTAAATGTAGAACGTTAATTTATTTCAAGAATATGTCAATTTTTATGCGCCTGAATTTTTAATGTGAAATATCTGAGTGAATCTCCAAGAAAAATTCAAATCAGGAAAATATGTATGAGAGTTGTTCGAAAAGTTCGCGGACCGTATTTAAGTCTTTGCCATATAATATTCAAGAAATCTACATTCAGCACATAATCATGTGTAAATATATTTATTATGATTTGTGTGAAGTTTATTTTCAAATTTTTAATTAATATCATTTATAATCAAGGACCACTTTAAGTCGTCAAAAATATAAGCTAACGAGTTTCTCGACAGTACTCTCTCTATACCTTTACACGTAGATGACGCCATAGCAATCTGTCATAAAAAGATCCCAACCACTTCGCATTGAGCTTAAATATGCTTCTGTGGTATGGGGATGCTGTCAAAATGGTGATAACGATAAGCTAGAAAAAATTGTAACTTTATGTTCCAAGAATTGTAACAGGTTAAATAACCTATTCACTTTACTTTGAAACGGAATGGGAACTAATTTGTTGTGGAAGACAAGCTGCTAGATTATAGACAATGTTTAAGATGCTTTATTATGTTTAATATCTTAGTTCCAGATTATCCAATTGACATTCTTCCAGATATGTAGTGCATTATATCTAACTATTTTAGAGGGAAATTTGAAAAATAGGATTCCAAAATGTAGATTCAGACTTAGAGGTCAATATGTGTTCCTACTATAGTTAGCAACAACTTAGAATAAAAAATTTACAATCAATGTGAAATTTAAATCTAAAATTAGCATAAAAATTGGGCTGTAACATTATTCTGACTCTTGTTCCTTTCTGAGAGTTAAGCTCAAATACAATGTCAGTTGAAAAAAATGCAAAATTCCATCTGGTTCATTTAAACAATCAGATGCTTTCTTTGTTAACGCAGAATTAACGGTTTGTACAAATAAAAAAAACATAACCCATGAAAGCAGGCAATGTTATATTTTTCTGCCATGTTTGCAATTATGCATTAATAAAGAAAGGCATTTTATGTCCGTATAAGAAACCGTAAAAAATATGATCACTGTATTACTGATCGTAAACCATTTATGTCTCGTTGATTTATTAATTGATTATATGTTGTTTTACGTCCCATTCGAGAATTTTTCACTCATATAGAGACGTCACCATATACCGGTGAAGGGCTTCAAATGTTGACCTTTACTCGGCACTCAGGGCCATTGAGCAGTGAGGGATCTTTATCGTACCAACGCCTACCGTGACACGGGGCCTCGGTTTTTAAGGTCTCATCCTAAGGACCCGCAACTTTCACTTCAAAGTGCCGCGCGCATGGCGAAGGAACAGTTGCTACCCGTTTTTTATCGACTTAGGTCAGTCGCGGCCGAGATTCGAACTCGCGACCTCCCGATCACGAAGCGAGTGCTCTACCGACTGAGCTGCCGTGAACTGTATATGTCTCGTTGATGAAATGGTCGATTTCAATACAGCATGTCTTGAAAAAAAAAGTTTTAACTTTGGTTTAGCGGAGTTAATGGTTTGATGACAGGGAGTGGCTTTCATTAGAAAATATTTAGAAGATGTCATTGATCTTTGTTAGAGGGAACATTTACACTATATATACCTGTACATCAATCAAGATTATGCATGAATGAGTATATTTTGTTAGTTTTCCGAAGGTCATCTTGGGAAGTTTAAAAACTTTTTGATTATTATCCGCTTCATGTTATTGTAACAGAAGAAGATTCGAAACGTACACTTGACTCACGAATTTCACATGACCTTGTTGTGCATTACGAATAAGAATTAAAGGTCATAAGGACAACTTCAAGGTAGTTTTCAGTGAAATATATGTAGTCATTTTCCGGCTATGTCTTTGTTAAAGTAAAAAAAATTTAAACTTAGAATAAAAAAAAAATAAATTTGATACGGATACCACTGGTTCCATAGAAAATGGCCGTGTTAGAAGACATTAAAAAAGGGACTTAAAATTTACATCATATTAGGCAAGATTTCATAATACATACAATTCGGATTAAAGAGGTTTCACTGTATGTACATACATCTATAAATTTACTTATTGATTAGCTGTGCATAAAAATATCTCAATACCTATCATGCACGAAGTATCTTTTTTAAAAGTGCGGGGAGGGAGGGGGCGAAAAAAGTTATATATTTACTTTTAAAAATTGATTAGCAAACAAGGCAATCCAAACTCGAAATTCCTATTTTGTGGGGAGGAGGAATGTAGATTTCAACCTTTTTGACCCCCCCCTCAAAAAAAAATTAATACATTAACATTGCAGGAACTGTTTATAGTTACTACGGAAAGGAGAAGCAACATGCTTTTCGATGAACATTTTCACACTAAATTAACCGTGAACGAAAAAAGACGGGAAGGGGGAGGGGATTTTGATTAAATGTGTCAAGAGCTCTCAAGCAAAACTCAAATTGCACAGAAATATGTATATACATCTATACGTATGAATTAATAATTGTTGCAAAGAAACTCCGGAACTCCTGCACCAGAGTTTATGACTACTCCTCTATCATTTAAAAGTATTCTTTATTCAAAAGTATTCTTTCATTTTCTATAAACAGCCATGAAATAGCAAAAAAGAGAGTAAGGTGGTGGTCAAGGTGGGCGGATCTAAGTTACAGACAATTCTTAATGAAGTTGACATCAAGTAATCATTTATGTATTGGATAAAATGTCTTTGATAAATAATTCAATCAAAACTTGATTTAAATGGTGTAGAAGAAATGAGTTGTGGTTACCAATTTAAAAACAAAATTATGCAAATCCTTTTCGTTTTATACGATCTGAGTGTTAACGGAATTTTCTAGAACGTCAAATGAAATCGACCCCAATGTTAAAACGAAAAAAAAAACAACCAAAAAAAAAAACAAAAAAACAAAAAAAAAAAAAAACGAGGTGCTTTAATATAACAGCATAAATAAATGATGATGTGAATAGGCATGGAAATAATGGTAAAGCAATTGATAACACTATGAGTCTTATTTATCCATCGAAAGACTCTGATTTGGTTAAATGTCTTAATTAAGTAGTTATTTGTGCTTATTCGACACTAAGAGGATAAGGGCAACGAACCCGAAGTCATGTAGAAATAAACTTACTAAAGAAAAAATGTCAATTATGGAATATAATATTATTCAAATGCCCAAGGTAGTCAGGCCAACAAGTTAAGTTTTCCTTCTTTAAGCTGTGTTGGTTGTTTGGGGTATAAGACCGAGCAAGCTGGTACTTCTGAAATACAAATTGCCAGACTGTTCAATAGGCATCATCCCTTGGTACCCTATGCTGCCAGGCCAGCAATATATACATTCTCCACTTCTCCATATATAAAGTTAGAGCCACAAACTGATCTGCTTTGTTATATTTTCATTATGACCGTAATTACTTACTGTAACTACTACATGTACTTCTTAACCTAGTCTGTTCATTAAAGTGTACAGAAGTTTGGTTTTCCTTCATACTGCATGTGATGTTTATATTTCATTGTATGAACCGTACCAGTAATATATATTGCTAGTTGAGAACACTTGCAAATGAGGATCAGGTCAATACTGCACCAAATGCAGCTATTGTTAAAATCATGATCATATTGTTTTTAATTGAACATGCTCTTTGAGGGCCCTTGATTGGTGAATAAACATATATAGTAAAAGTGGTGCGTTCTAAGTTTTCACATTTTATTACATACTTGAATCAATACATTTCAGGTTTGTTTTCTTTTTGTATTAGGCCCATAGGAGGCAATTACAGTGGTTGGGGGAGGTGGGGGGGCACAGCCAAACATTTTCAGTATTACCAAAAACTCAAAAATTACTTGACAAACAAAAAAAAAAGGGGGGGGGGAATCAGACATTATTGAGGGAGCACAAGCAAAATTATTGCCCCTACCAGTTCCTATGGCTCTGTGTATTAAATAATAGGCATATCCATAAGGGTTGAAAAGCTAATTTTTTTACTTTAAATTGTACTGAAAAGTTCGATAAAATGAGCATTTTCGCTTCTTTTATCTTTGATGGAAAAGGAAATGGAGCACCCGAAGTATAGTATGTTATAACAGTATAACAGGATGAGGTACCAAAATATATACTAATATGAAAAGAGAAAATGTCAATTATTGAAATTGATATTTTTCAAGGTAAAATAAAAACCAATTAAGAAAAGAAGGGGGTATTTATTATCTACTCCTAGATCTGCTCCCAAACATACTGTGGGATTTTGTACAAAGTATTTCTTCCTGCTTTAATTCTTTTATTAACTGTCAGTAGAAAGTATAAGATACATATATATAATACGAAATGATCAGTCAAAAGTGGCAAAAATTCAATTCTCTGCGATTGCGCGGGATTTCATCTAGTGATTATCTATGGCTTTTCATTGTCTACAGACTCATGTGCCAGCTGAAGGACCTGGACCATTATTAGCAAAAAAAAAATAAAATAAAATAAAATAAAATAAAAAATAAAAAAAATAAAAAAAATAAAAAGACTTAAATAATAAATATCGAAAAGCATGTGTTTTAGATGATTTATATTTTTTCAAAAGACTTATGATAGAGAAATATGTCAGCTAAATAAATACATTCATACATGTATCCAAAAAGGTGGAGTCCAGGGTTATTAATAACGCCCTGTCCTCACAATTTAGCACTTAACTGGCTTAGTAATTGTAGACAAACCAAAATTCAATACCATTTCAATACACGTACTATGAATAATTCATGTATGTTTGAACCCCGTCCCGGTAGCCTAGTGGTAGGACGTTCATTTCGTGATTGGGATTTTCGTTTGCTAATCAATATACGATTTTCGTTCACGGCCTCGCGTCAAACATAAGACGTAACATATAGGTAGTG